AGATACTTCTTTTTTGCCTGAAGAACAATTTTCAAGATTTTAATTAGCAGGACTACTTATCCTGGAACATGCTATCCTTTAAATTATATTTTTAATGTTTTCTTCAGGGGATTACCCATTTTGGAATTGTTGATTTTCATTAGCAAAAAAATTAGATAACTATTCTGTGAATGACTTTATTCCTGCTCTTTTAAGAAAGGGGCTGAGAATAGAAGTGGATAAATGACTTGTTTATAGTCATTCGGAAAACAAACAAACAAAATATATGTGGTTGTTAAATATGATTAAATAGCCCAATATCTGACATATCTATGAAATGGAGGCCATTGTTAGCCTTACTTTATTAAGGTAGAACATTCCAATATGGTCCCTATTTAATTTATTACCCAATATTCAGATGTCTACTACAGAGTTCCTCAAAGGTGTTTTCCATCTCAGTCTTTTTCATAGTCCCTGAATTACATCACCATGGAAAGAAGCCAACAAAATACACCCTACTTTTCTGGCAATTAAATATTGAAAGCTAGAGACCTCAAGCATATTATACACTTTGCAGGAAATTCCCAGACTTTATTCTAAGACAGTCAGGCACCACACAAACTAATCTGACGAGATAAAAAAAGCTAATGTGGTCTGCATAGTTAGCACAAAAGAAAAAAAAAAGATTGTAGTGATCTTTTCCATAAGCCAAGACTTTTTCCTAGATTTCCTTCCTAGATTATGGCACCAACAACAGAAGCAGAGTCTAATACACTTCTAACAATCTAACCTGATAAAAGAGATACAGCTATCATCTTACTTGAAGTATGTCATTTACATGCCTTTTGGCCTATCTCCAACTCTCTCTGGGAGATCAGCTGGCATTCAGATATTCAAGTAGTAAATATTATGGTTGATGAGTGTAAGAGTCTATTGAACTCATTCTCCAAATTAAGGATGTGTGCTATCAGCATTTTCTGGTCCTATTCAAGGCTAACCTACAAAGTTATAACCATATGGGCTGTTTCTTTTCCTGTCTTTGGAATCATCAAGGTGAGAATTGTATTATAACATGAACCCTACCTCTCTTCTCTTGGTATCATATGAATTAAGGCTAATTTTCAATTGATTTCTGTTGGTTCATACGGATTTGACCTTCTTCAATGGTTCATCCAAATAATTCAGAAATTGTCAATTTAATGAGATATTTCTCTTTCCCTATATGTGTAAAATATGACATATATTTTATTATTAGCCATTGACACATTATTTATTCATTTTGCATATCTGGTGTTTAGGCCTTGATTTGTCAGTGTATTTATAAATTAATCATATATTTCTTTAATTAAACACTTATTATTATCATCTTTGAATAATTTATAGTAATGATTTATAGCAGGGATGTCAAACTCAATTTCATTGACGGCCGCATCAGGGTTTCGTTTGACCTTGAGGACCAGGGTGGACATGACCAGGGTGGGTGTGGCCAGCTCAATGTCACCTCGGGTTGCCTGTGGCAGCCCAAGAACTCTGCCAGTGGGCTCCCAAGCTCGGTTTTCGGCTGCGATGGCCTCCTGCAATCCTCTGCCAGCAAAAATGGAGCTTGCTAGTGCTGCCTGTGGCCCTCCGTTTTTAGCTGCAATGGCCTCCTGCAACCCCCTGCCGAACTCTATTTTCACTGGCAGAGGCACCATGGATTGATCATTCACTGTTTCCAGGGCAGCCCCGTGGGTCAGATCTAAGCACCCCGGGGACCAGATAGGTATATTAAAAAAAAAAATTCCAAAAGCAGAATTATAATAAAAACATGGAATTTATTTATTTATGAAATTTATTTGCTGCACATCTCATATCCAACAATTCTGGGTGGCTTACAATGTAAAAAACATAGAAAAAACATTACAACCATCCATTGTAAAAAAAAAATGCAAGAATGCAAAGAACATGAATTGTAATAGAGTGGGATTGGATTTGCTGTTTACTACTCATCCAGGAAAAATGAAGGGATCCCATTACTTTCATAGTTGGCAACTAACACTGGGTACATTGCAGTCAATGACCAATAATATCAATTTCATGGACAACCCATTAATATAATGATTATTCAAGTTTATGACTCAAGCACTAATGAAAAAGACATAGTTGACAAGTTGTATTGTCAACTTCAATCTGAAATAATCAAAAATGCAAGCAACATGTGCTACTTATTGTTGGAGACTCCAATGCCAAAGTTGGAAAGGATGAGGAAAAATGTAATTGAACCGTATGATCTGGAAAACAGAGGTTTCTGCCAATCCAATGGTTTTTTCATTGCTAATACATTCTTCTAAGAACTAAAATGATGTTTATACCCAGGGATAGTACCAAATGGAACACAAAGAAATCAAGCACTAAGCTTGGTAAGGTACAAGGGGTTCCACCACAAAACCGCGCTCGACTAAACCACGCCCAACTAAACCGCGTTGCTGACGTCATCAACAGGGCAACAACAGCCAGCGCGGAGAAAGAAGGGCGCTTTAAATAGCGCTTTGAAAGCAAGCAGATTCAACTTAAGGTAAGGCCCGTCAAAAGCGTGTTCCACAAAAGCGCGGTCGACGAAATCGCGTATGTG